ATCTGCTCTCATCTTTTTTCACTGATCATCTTCGATCTCACAGTCAACGATAATTCCTTACAATGTTATCTTTAGTTATGAATGCGGCGACTAAGAAACCTTGCCAATGAGATGAATTCAAATTAGGTCTCACATAAGTATAACTGTGCTGTTCGGTTTGCAATAAAGTGAAATCTAAAAATTTCGAAGGAAATGAGCTGGAGTCAGTCTGATTATCTAATTGATTATACTCTCAGTGTTTAGCTTGAATAGAGCCAATGTTCGTATTATATAAACAGCTATCGTATCCTCTGTCCTTTGTGCTGTCTCATCTTATTATTAGCAGAAGTTCATGTATTCAGTTCATCGTTTGGTCTCGTATATGATCTAGTACTTCCGTCATCTCATTAATACTGCACAAGAAACGTCGCATAACATTAATTTTATCCAGCTGTATGTCTTGTTTGTTTGGCTTGTTGAATAGCTGAAACAGAAATATCCCCTTAAACAGGGAGTGCGATATAATAGCACTGCGACAGCAGTCTAATCGTAAGCCAGTTTGGTTGCTTTAATAATCAGTGGAATAGTCAGATTTCTTACTCAGTGGAAATAGTCAGATTCAGATGAATCTTGCTGAATAATTCAACGATTTTAAACGTTCAGAAAGATTGTGTGGACCGAACGTGTAGTGCACATGGTGTGTGCGTTAATGGACAGTGTTGGTGTGAGTTCGGTTATCGTGGTGAATCTTGTGAGGAAACATTCTCAGTACGATCGCTTTGTGATACCAGCGTACTTGAGACAGTTTCTGATGGAGACACTCAGATCACTGGTGAATCGTTAGACGCAGATGCGGCGTGTAATGGACGAGGCCGAGTGCATGCCACAACACAGAAATGTTTATGTATCCCCGGTTATCACGGTGAAAAATGTGAACTTGGTGCGTTTTCATCGATAATTTTCATTGATGTTGTAATCAAGCAATCGCTGTTATCATGCGAATATTTCATTGTTCTGAGATTTAAATGTTATCCAATCGTTACATTACGAGACTTTTATGTCTGTAATAAGAAATAAGAGCTTCCCATTCATACAGCTCGTTGCGAAGTGGAATGTGTTCATGGGGAATGTGGCGATGGCGTTTGCCTGTGTGAGAATGGATGGACAGGTGTGAACTGCCTGGAGAAAGAATGTCTCCCGGGATGTGAGCAGAAAGGTCTTTGCAAGAACGGTACCTGTATTTGTCATAAAGGATGGAATGGCGAGAATTGTCATATACGTAAGCTTCTTGAAATATCTTCCCATCTTATAATAAATAAATTTTGCGAGCAGAATTCCACTCGGATTTGGTCAGAAATGTTAAAAGTTCGTTACTTACATGTTGAAAGTGTGAACTGATTTCAGCGGGTTGCCCGAATAATTGCAATAATAATGGTGAATGTAAGATGTTCAATGATGAATGGAAATGTGGCTGCGATTCGTCACATTTCGGCGATGATTGCCTATTGCCGATTGAAATCGATTGTGATGACGGTATCGATAATGATAACGGTTCGTTAACTGATCAGTAATAACAGTCGATATATTCCAGTATTTGTTTTATAACTAGTGATTATTTTATCAATGAGGATCAGTAAAGTGGAGTATTCATGTTCAGTTCAATGAACTGTATTTGGTCAACATTATTTTCTCTGATATTGAAAATGATTAACAGATGGTCTGGTGGATTGTGAGGATTCCGAGTGTTGTACGGAACGGAGTTGTGCATCGAATCAAATGTGTACTACTGTAGCACAGCCAAGAGACGTGCTACTCAGAACTTTACCATCAGTAAACGCCAATTTCTATCAGGTTTACTTTAGTGATTGCGAATTTGTTATTTGCCTATGAGACGAGCAAACTTTGTCCATAATTCTCGGAAGAACAGAAAGACTTTCTTCGTTTCATCCGTTCAAGATGTTCTAATGAAGAGCATTTAGTATGCACAATAATATCGTCGTTTCTGTTTCAGCAAATCAAATTTTTGGTACAACCAGATTCCGTGCAACGTTACGCTGATGAGCGGCAGTTCAACGAAAGGTTCGCGTTGTCACTGTGACCAAAATTATTTTCAGTTTACATTTTCTCTTGAAACAATCCTAATGCGTTATCACATACTATATACAATAGCTATATCTTTCTTTTATCCCCTATTAGTTTCATACTTTATTCGATAAATCCGCACCTGAGTTATTTCGTTTCAGTTTGGTATCAGTGATTCGTGGTCGAGTGGTTTCACAAGACGGTTCCCCACTAACGGGTGTTCGTGTGGCTGAGGCACGACATCCACCGCTAACGGGCTTCACGTTGAGTCGTAGCGAAGAAGGTGGCGGTGCTTTTGATATATTGGTGAATGGCGGTCGTATGGTAACACTACAGTTCATGCGGAAACCGTTCGATAAAATCGAACGCAGTTTCTATGTGCCATGGAATGAAATCGTTTACGTAGGCGATATTCAGATGCATTTGGGTTCACAGGTTTGTATTTGTCTTATCATTTATTCACTCTTCAAAGTAATTGCTGATCATGTTTAGATCACTTGCTTCGTTATTCGAGTATTCACTGAAATATCGTGGTCAAGTTGTCGTTGCTTAGATTCGTAACTGAGATGTTTAAAAGCATATGCGCTGTCTGCTGAGAAACCTCCAATGTTGAATTGTTTTACTCATTCTCGAGCATTTTGTTTATCTACATTTCGGTTCAGTTGAACCGTTTCATAGTCCGGAAGTTCGCGACTTGCGCAATTGCGTAGTGACTTCACGTGTGACCCAAAATCATTAACAAAATTTGTGCCAACCTCATCAATAGGCGTCAATTAGATCAGTGCGGAAGCGTGTCATCCGTGTTAGGTGAGAGATCTATTGTGCGGATGTGTTTCTGTTTGATTCGACAATACTGAGGTGATGATCGGCAGAGAATAGAATAATTCATGATGAATACTGTGGAAAGTGAACAGCGGGTGGTGATATTCGGTGAATTGAGATGATTTGCNAATTATATATTATTTATATTGTTTGTGTATGAGTGCAGATGGAATTAACAAATTCAATAGCGGTTGGTCACCTGTGGAGTGGTTGAGGTTGGCTTGGGACAATGAAAAGAAATGAATGAATGAATTGTTGGTGACGGTGATCACATAAATTGTTTCATGCATTCTCGAGGTCATGATGCCCTCACTCCAGCGCTCAAACCCAATTATTCCTCACCTCTCACTTATATGAATACCCCTTGGATCCCCTCTCTTGCTAGCATACTACCGACCATTATTCGCGCATTATTATGTGCCTCTTGACAATGAAGGGAACGATTCTCTCGAAACGATTACCTTAAAAAGCATACCGTCCGCCATCATGATCATACCGCACATAGCAACTTGTTTTTTGTTCTTTCACTTATATGCGATCATGCTCATGCATTTTTGATGAGTTGTGATGGGTTGAGAAGGGAAAGGAACAACAAACATAAAGATGAACCGTAATTCTGATGAATTCTTTTGAGCATTCTTCGTGAATGACTCATTGGGACATGATTTATGGGACCATAAAATCACGTTTCCCATGCATGGAAAGAGCATTGCTTCAATACAGTATTTGAATTTACTGAAATTAATACCGCAATAAGAATTATACCGCAGGAAATCGCCTAAAAGCGATTTTCGATTGTTGTCTCGGAATGCAATTTGATTGTAGATAATATAAGAAGGTGAAAGCAGTGAATGTATTCATTAATATTGACAGCTTCAGAATTTATCGCTTATGGTGAGCAATAAAAAGAGATAGAAGACTGAAGAACTAAAATGATAATAATGAAATTTGAATGATTGTAGAATGCTTTCACGTCTTCTGATCATCCTCTCAACGAGCGATGTCGCATCCTATACGCATCACATACAATCGAACCTTCACTGTTCCCATCATGGCTTACAAATCAGTATTCTGGTCATATAGCTTCATCGAAATCATCAACACAATCCTCTCAACAAGCTTCGCAAATTCTTGTCGATTCAAGAACCGCATTCGATAGTGTTCACGTAATGATTTGCAACTGTTTTGCGATTTAGTCTCTTCTCATGGTTTTGTTTCAAAGTTTTTTGATTTCTTCATGGTTTACTTTGGAAGCTTGAAAACATCCATAAATTGTTAGTTCATTGTATGTTTCGGTGGCTGTGTAAGTCCTAGGAATGCTCATAATTCCGCGAAAAAGTTGTGCATTTTTATCGTTTCTTTATAGATTCCGGGAACAACGGATGTATTTTTGGTATACGATAGCTCACGCGCTGAAAGGTACCGAAGTAGTTTGATAATGGAACTGCTGCCTGAGAAAGTGCCGAAATTACTGCGATTGGTTCATGTTCGTGTGAATATCGGTGGTAGCCATTTCTCGGAGGTGTTCGCTGCTAAACCGAATCTGACCTATACGTTCCTGTGGGAACAAACCAATGTTTATATACAAACTGTCAGTGGATTAACGAACGCAAAAGGTTTTTATATTGTTTTGGGTCGACTCTCGCTTCGGTTTTTGTTTTTCATTAAAGAGTTGTGGAATCTACAATTCAGATCGGTTTGCAGATGCTTTTGCTTATTTGTTCATTCGTTTATCCGTTATAATTTGCAGTTTCAATCGGTTACGAGTACGAGAACTGTGGTCATGAGGCGATTGTTTGGATTCAACGTAACGTGAAATTGGAAGGTCGGAAAGCGAGTCGTTTCAATCTGGGTGTATGGACACTGAATATACACCATCATTACGATGTTATCAACAGTACGTTAGCAAATTCCGATATTCGCACTCCACTCTGCAATTTTTTCTTTATTCCGCTTTGCTTCAGCTCGTGGTTATTATTTAGTATTTTAAACGTCAACGGTGCGATTCTTTCGTTGCGTTTGTTGAATGTCGATTCATAATTCTTTTTGAATCTGTCTGGTTTTTACTGAAACGTCTTCATCTATAGAATGGTCTGAAAATGTGATCCAGTTAAAAGACGGTTAATAAACGGTCGAATTTTAGATGTGTTGGAGAAAGGTGACGGATCGAAGTTGTATCTGGATGAAGCACCACAGATTCTGACAACTCTCGTTGGTGGTGATCAACAACGACCGATAACGTGTCCGTTTTGTAGTGAACCGAGCAGGTTGGTGATCACTTCAATCATTCATGTTTTGTGGTTCCGTGCTTCTTTTGCTTATCGTATAGGAGATGGAATTAAATAATAGAAGTAAGATAGAGATGGAGTGCTGAGATAGTTCAGAGTTGGCCATTGCACAGATATGGGATATGATTATTATTAGGGTACTGCTGTAATGGAGTTGATTGGATGAATGCATGATGCACATGCAGCAAACGTACTGTTGAGTACATTTGTGTTGGGTAAATAAACTGATCAACAAATTAATGAAGAAACGAACAACTGAATAAACATACACGATATCGTGAGAGTATCACCCAAACAAAATAAGTATTATATATGCGTGTCCTTCAAACTTACTGAGTACTTAAGTATTTGTTTGTTCAGAGAACTGCTTTATCTTTATACGTGATAAATATAGTATTTATTGTGTACTTGATGGAATTGTTTCTCAAAAGGTAAATAATACTCTGCAACAGTTGTGTAAACAAACAAGCAAAACATACGCAACGGGCTGAACTGAGTACGTTTGGTTTGTTATTGTAGAGCGAGTAGATTTGTTGGTGAATAGTATTTGGAAGGGGAATGATGTTATTGAATTGTAATAATATTAATAGTATGTTTGCAGTAGTGCACGTCTATTCCGCCCTGAGGCCTTATGTGTTGGCAGCGATGGATCATTGTACATTGGCGATTACAATTTGATTCGAAAGCTAACACCTCTTCGTCAGCTGGTGACCGTACTAGAACTGAGGTTTGTATGAGAAGTACAAGCTTCTTCTCTTTTAAACGAACATGACATGTTTCCATGCTTATACTTATGGCGAAGCTGAATTCATCCAACAATTCAGTATTGTATTCTGGGATTACGCTCTCATCGTCACGCATTATTTTTAGATTTAAAGCATAGGTTCGCTATGGCGATTTATTTTTCAGTGAACTCAACCAACGTACATAAATTTCAGTATATCGGATACGGCACATCCCTACTATATGGCCGTAGATCCGGAAACGGATCTCCTGCATATATCGCTGCCATTGCGTCGTCAGGTATGGCAAATCAAGAAGGATGTGAACGGAGAGCTGACCACAAATTACAACGTGTTGGTTGGCGATGGAAGCAGTTGTGCGGATCAAACGCAATCGTGTGGGGATGACGGGCCGGCCGATATGGCACAGTTGACATTCCCGAAGGGTATCGCATTCGATCACGACGGAAATTTGTACATTGCTGACAGCAGACGAATTAGGTGCGTTTTGAAATCGTGCGTTTTCATATAACTGAGTGATTTACTATTATAAGCAGTGAGGTCTTGTTTTCATTGTTTGGCATGACGTTGTATGTTTCAGAGTCGTGAACCGTGAAAAACATATTAAGACGCTGGTAACGGACAGCAGTTATGGGCCACGACCGTGCGTTTCGGATATCACTGATCTATCAAAATTGAAACTTGTTCGTTTTTTGTGTTACTTATCCAAATCAACGTTGTTTTGCTTTTTGTTGTTATTAATCATAAGTTGCACGAGGTTCGAATCTAAATTTTGATTGTTATTGCAGTGATGTTGATCAACTTTTTGCGTTTTGATTTAATAGCTGATTAATATTAACAGCAGCGTTCAAGATTCGTAGTATTTATGTTGTGTGTTCATTGATTGAAACTTGCATCTAACTTTCAGGAATGGCCGACCTCACTAGCGATGGACTCTGAACGAGGCGAGCTGTTGGTTCTGGATTCGAGTCTGATCTACAGGATATCGCTTGTCTCGAAGAGTGCACACGTGATCGCTGGATCGTTACCCGAATGTGAACATTTAGAGAATATAATCGGTGAAGTGCTACCATCACGTCCGTTGTTGGACGCACGAGCCATTGCTATCGGATCTGATTCAACCATTTATGTGGTTGAATCAAATTCGAAACGTTTGAATCAGGTATGCATGAGAATTTGTCTAAGTTTCTCTAATATTCTCTTGATGCTCTACTGTTACCATTTGATGTCATATGATAATATTAAGAACCTAATTTCGGTGGTTTCATCAAAATCTTTTCATTCACAAATAACGATCGTGTACGTTTTCGTCCATGAAAGGGTTTAGTTTCAAGATTCATCCCGTACAAAGGTGATGATATCTTTACATTTTAAAGGTTCGTGCAATCACACCAGATGGACGTATTCGTGTGGTAATCGGTCACAGCAGTAAATGTGACTGTGATCGTGTGAATTGCCCATGTGAGAGTGAAGCACCAACGATTGCCTCATCCGCATTTCTGCATTCACCATCTGCGGTTGCAATTGACCCGAGTGGAACACTCTATGTCACTGATCAGGTATGATGAAGAAGCACATTCTTATGAATTAAGCACATTTCATTAACGCTTCTGTGTTCATTATGCTCTTTCGGAACATTATTGTTGTGTAATATTTGTTATGAATACAAATTATATGAGCAGCTTGTATCAGTCTATCGGTTATGTTTCACAGATTTCCGATAGTGCTGTCTTTTGACTGAGCCAAATCACTTGGAGTGTCAAATGAGATATATTCTGCATCTCTCAGTGAAATGAAAACCATTCACGTTGCGAAGGAAGAATTCGAGAACTTTTTGAAAATGTTCAGGAGAGTAAAATTTATAGAAATTGTTCAAGAGTTCATATGTTATAGGGCAATTTCAAAGTGAAAATACTGCAAAAAGTTCGTGCACGATACGATGACATCTCGAGACAGTTCCGAATCCACAGTGCGCATACAAATGAAGTGTATTTCTTCAACAGGAACGGTTTGCATATCAGTACACGAAGTCTTCTGTCTGGACAAACTCTCTACAATTTCACCTATAATGTTGACACTAAGTAGGCTTTTGCTGTTTGTTTCTCTCAGAACTCCGTTTGTTGTTTCTTAAAGAACCATAACATGAAGCATAGATCTTTTACGTGAATTAAAGCAAACTTTCTACAGTTTGGGTCGTCTTACACAAATCACTGGTGCTGGTGGTTATGCGTTACGTTTGAGACGTATCAATGATACGGAAACCGTTTTGGAATCATCAAATGGTCTTCGAACCATACTGACTTTTGATGCTTTCGATGGAACTCTTCAAACTGTCACATTACCGAGTACAGGTATTATCTTATTATCTGCTCTTACATCTATTCATTATTACTTCCCTCATCATATAGTATCGCTTTGATTACATGCTACACATCTATCCGTATCATTTTCTGCTATTGAATGTTCATTTTGCAGATGAAATTCAATTCTCATATTTACCTGGACAATTTCTGCGCAGTAAGGAGATAGATCAGCGAATATGGTTGTATGAATATGATGAATGGGGTCGTGTGCGAGCACTGGTCACTCCATCAGGCTCGCGTTTTTCGATTCGAACTCAGTCGTTACGTCGCGGATTGCTGCAGACCAGTGTTGATCTGAACGATCGACCTTATTCCACATTTGCATTCTCACCAAATGAATTCTCTGAATCAGGTTCGAGCGGTGTTCACGTCTCTCTAGTGTACTTTTGGGGTGACATCAGATATTGGAAAAAGAATTTTTTGCTGGAGAATTTAGAGTAGTTGACCAAAGCAAGTCAAACAGAGATAATTTGGTGTTAGATAGATTTCATATAATCAACGCAAAAAATTGGCCAATCTATTCTTCTAAGTGGCGGTAGATTTTAAATGCCATTCTTGTTTATTTTCAATTAGCTCACATAAGTTTGTAAAACATACTATCGAAATCTCGACGTAAAAACCTCTGAAATGCTGAATAGCGCACGAATCAATCCGATTGTAAAATTGCAGGTGTTGAGGAACGTCATGCGATTCTGTTAGATGAAGGCTTAATAGTGGATTCAGGAGGATATCGCAGTCACTATGAGAGTGTTTCACATCCCCTGCTGGAACACTACGAAAGTGCCATACTGAAACGTAAAATCACGTTAGCTGCTAGTGTAGAGCCAGCACATCGTGAACTGAATATGCGTTTTGAATGGCGAGGTTATGTGCGAAGACGAGACCTGTCGACGTTACGATCTGCACGATATCAGCAAGCGTCTCTGGGCATCGACGGAGCACACAAACGCATTCTTCAGGTCGGACGGCGGCCGAGGGTATGAGTTCGATGCTGAGTGCTGGATGAATGTCATGCTGAGTGCAAGTCATGCAACAATCCTCACTCACACAACTCATCCGAACGAACGCTTTTTCGTTGCTTTGCTTCGTTATTAACTTCTTTTCATTTCGTTTTATCTAATACCTATTTGTCATAAACCAATTGTGATCAGATCCCTCCTAATCTATCTTGTCAGCAAATCATTGTTGTTACCAGCTTTGGTGTGTAAGATCAGTCGTCTTTTGCATCTTTTGCATCAATCGTCCGTTTGGCTTTGATAAATTTTATGCATGATAGTCTGTCGAACGTGATACTCTTATTGTCACTAATATATTGATTTTACCAGTTATGAGTAGCTTATAAATTAGCGATTGAATAAGTTCGATATTGTATGTGTGTGGTTTCAAAATCATACGGGAGATCTCTTGTAAATGGAACGCATTCAGTTAGCGAATTAACTCTGAAAATTCCATTGTGGGTTCAAATCCTCAGTTTTGCTGCGGTCATGATTGCCGAAATCGGTTTTTAACGCATGAGTATGGTGTGAGATTACAGTGAGTGTAACAATAATGATGATGTTCAGTAACGAGTGCGATTTGTGTGCTATAAAACAAGTCCGTTTTAGTAATGTGAAAATTTTCAAGATGACTTTGAACATCTTGAAGATAACTTTGACGATTCGTTGTCATCAACGAAGGCTGTGATTGCTTTTGGCTGTGATGTGGATGAGTTTTTTGAAATGTGGCGAGAATGATTTGATCGATGCTCTGTTCAAACAGCCTAATCCCCTTTTGATAATGTCTAACCACCTACAGTTTTCTCATCTACTGAAATAATATGATGCGCAATCATTCAATATCATTTATGTGCTATTTGAATTGATTTACTTCTGTCGATGTTGTCAAGCTGCATCGATTCCATTATTTGAGCATATCTCCTTTGACGGAATGGCCGAGGCTGAGGTATTTTTCCGGGACGTTTACTTTGAAAATTCATTTGGTGGGGTGTTTCCTCGATTAATTTGCATCATATTAGGAGCGTTTTAGATAGATTTCTATATCTCTGAATAGAAGTGTATTGATTCCTAATGAAGTTTTTTATTGTAGGTGAATGGTCGTAACATATTTACAATTGAATTTGATCGTGACAAACGAACGGATCGGATCAGAAATAGTGCTGATGAGGAATTTTTGAGTATCCAATATAATGAGGCTGGTCAAATGGTCAGTATCGTGGCTCAGGGTCGTCCCCGACTGGCTCCGTTAACAGCCATCTACGACGGTTTCGGACGACAGAAACGTATCGCATGGGGGAATGCCACATTAGACTTTACCTATGATCGGCAGAATCGAATCACACAGTCTGCTATGGGCCCTGCAGCCAATCTTTTGACAAGGTCAGTGATGTGCGTAGATTTTTACATGGCAAAATCACACTCGAATGAGCGAATCAAAAATGGTTTCGTTCTGACTCAGTCAGTTGTTTTGTGTTTGAAAGATCTTTTCCATGTCGAGTGTGATTTTGCAAAATTTACAAATATTCGTGATTCGAATAATAGAGAAGTAACAGTAAGCGATGATCTCAACTGACATCAACGTTTCTGTACTTATGATCTTGTAATCATCAGTACAGAAACGTTGATGTCAGGAATTTCCACTTGATATGGTCTGATTAGTGATCGATGAATTGATTAGTGATCGATGAATGGCTTCAGGAAGTTCAGTTATAATAAGGATTCACTGCAAACACCATCCACTGTGCAGTTGCCGTCGGGTGAGAAGTATCGTTGGCGCTATGATCCGATCGGTGCGGTTGCCTCGTTAAAGTCGCCATCGGGTGAGATCCACTACTTTGCTGAATACGCGTCGCCCAGTCGACGGCTACGATACCGCAATGCACCATTCGTCAACGATTCATTCGTGGCGGCATTCGATGACGAGCACAATCTGATCGAGTATACAACTCCGGATGGCTTTCATTCGTTATCGATACGACACGATCTGTTCGGTCGTATTAAGCAAATCAGTGCTGATGCCGATAACGTTTTCATGCAGTATCCTGAATTCAACGGTGGCATCGAGGTATAACTTCCTCAGTATTCAAATTTCATTATTCTATAATGTTTTGGGAAGAAGTTGTGAACCATGCGATAATGAGTATTAAATGAGAGAAGTATCAAGCATAGTATGACATTTGCATCATGTGACTGGTGCTTTTCGGGTAATAGATTCGAAATTCCGTACCAGATTTGCACACCATCTGTTCGTTAAACTTCAAATGGCTTGGATCTTTATTCTCATGCAATCCTAGAAGTCAGTTGTTTTGATATTTCAGCCAACTCAGATCGTATCGAATTCTTTGCGAAAACGAATCGCACGTCAAGGACCGTTGGTGATCAGTGTTCGCGAGGAACATTCTGATATGAGCTATGCGAACAAGTTAGTCCTTTGCACACACCTACAAGCTTTGTTCGTACAATTGAATTGTAGGGATTTTATGATACTCATAATGATATGAACTGCTCATATATCTCTTCATAAACATCTACGACTCTAAATGAATGAAAGAGTTTGTATTTATTATCAAATTTAATGAGACCGAATCACATTGCAGACGTTTTGCTGAAAGTTCAGCGTTTTTCTCGTATGAATACGACGATCTGTTCCGTATGATCAGCATGACGGCGAATTTCGATGGCTTGTTGATGGAGCCGATTCGTTGTGAATACGATTCAAGAGATGGACGAATCACCAAATTACATCATTTCTCGTTGCTTCGTGATGGTATCGTGAAACGAATTCTTGGACAAACGGTTTGTTCACTGATCTTTAATGGTTATCTTAAATTTAGATTAAACGAAAGGAGAACGCTATTCTCTCACATTGATATCCTCTGGTCGATTCATGTTTCATGGATTCGTGTTAGATATTCTATCACCAATGTAGCTTATTCGCAGTGATACTTTTACTGTTTCCATTTAAGCTTGTCATCGAAAGTCGTCGAAGTGAGCAAGGTGTTGAGATAAGTCGGAAAGTTATGGTGGGCGATTTGCGAGTGGCTGAAGTGATTGTTGGTCGAGATTTAGTTGGTCGTTTGGAGAGTGTTGAGTGGAGCGTGTTCGGTGAAAAAAGACCACTGGAGAAACGGACGTACAATATCGATGGACAGGTAGTATTCTCATTGTTTTTGTTGACTGTTGATGTGAAGTGGCACATTCGTATTTATTCAGTTTAATTTTTCATTCATTTCAATCGTCATTTCGAAAGTTCTATCCATTTGCACAGGAATTATCTCATTAAATCTAGGTGAATAGTTCTGACAGTGTTTTTGTTTGCAGTTGACTCAGTTGACAATGGGCGAAGACGAGAGTCGTCGATGGACACTGCACTATGATCTGGATGGACGTCTGAAAGCTGTCAACGATCGCAAGTTAACGCTGAGCGCAGGAGGAGTCCCAAAAAGTTTCGATCAGGTACGATCTCAGTGAACATTTCATAACTTTCAGATGTATTATGTTTCATTGTTTCTTTCATTCTCAGTGAATTCATTCATACATTTGTACACATCTAATTGATTATTTGAAGTTGGTATACGAAGTGGACGGTAATGGATGGACATCAAGACGTGGTAATGCGCTATTTGAAATTGATGTGATGGGTCGTATTCGGCGAGTTGTTGAACCGGGATTGATGGATATTGAATATGGGTATGATGAGCAGTCAAGAGTTGTATGGCGAAGAGTCGGTGATCAAACATTGCAGCGCTTCTTCTATGCATATCCACATAAACCTCAACTCATCTCGCACTTCACATCATCGTTTGTTTCACTTCAATTTGCTTCAATATTACTCAATTTTATGATTAGGATGTGGCATTCATCTTCTGTATCATGTGCGATCTGTATTATAATGACTGTTTACCTTAAGATGAAAGTTGTATTAACTGTTTTCTCACGAAGGCTGCTCATTCCGAAAGGTGACAAAAAATTCATCGCATTACAGATCCGGCGATGCAATCTCGGTGATACTCTATGATGACGACGATATACCGATCTCGATGCATCGTGCTGGTTCAACGTATGCGATTGTAACGGATGCTGATGGCTCGGTGCGTTTCATATTCGGTCCAGATGGTGCTCTCGTCAAGGAAGTGATACATGACGCACTCGGTGCGACTGTGCTCGACTCAGATCCAACATTCTATTTCCCGTTGGGATATTTGAGTGAATTCGATGATACGTTGACGGGTATCGTATTGATTGGCCCAGAACGACGGCCCTTAGACACGTTTATCGGTCGCCTAATGAGTACTACGCCCAAATTTGTGAGCTCGAATCTTGATGCATTCGCGCCTGAAACAGAAGCTGATCCGTTCCGGTTGACAGCGACAAAAGCACTTCAGCCGAACGTCATTCCAATCGGTAAGCAAAACGATAACTTTTCCTGTGATACGTAAATTGTGATTTTTGTTGAAAAGAATGAGTAATAGAAGAATAAGCATATGAAATCATTGAGGTGTTATATTTCGCTTAAGTGGTCTAACATTTAGAATTTTCAGATATAAATGAATGGACCGAGATGTCCGGTTTTTGGTTACCAGAAGCGGTACCGTCAACTCGCGTCACCCAACGCTGGAATTCACCGATGGACGTCTGTGACGTGAGCAGATCGCATGCGCTATCTGCAGCGCTGTGCTCGTTATCCGCCAAAACCGTTCACTTCTCACAATTTCTGACCCTATCAACATCAGGTGTCCTTCCACCATTCCAGTATCCATCACGAGCGATCGCTCCCCGAGCCTCGTACGCGACCGTTGATTCGGTCGGTTTTAGAGGTCTTCTCTTTGCCAACCTATCGTCATCATCCTCCGCAAAGGTACGACAGTTTATGTCCATTTATACAGGTCTATGGAGCCTCGTTATCTTTATGAAAATTCATCGTGATGTTTCAGGTGAATGCTGTGATGAGCTTACAGCAACCAGCCGATGGATTGAATTTGCTAAATTCATTACTGAATAAAAGTAGTTTAGTGCACACAGATGATTTTGGTTTGGTGTCATCTTCTGCAACTGTTTCCGAGGTAAGAGATCAGTAATATATCCAGTGGATGTGATTTATTTTAACTGCACAAGGCGATTCAGTGATCCATCGAAGAAATTTCAGAAAGGAGTGGCTTTCATATTATCAACCATCCTGCTTAATGAAATAGTACAAAAATTCTTCACAAGCTAAAGATTGATATGATCTGTAAAAGTGATCAGTTTTAAATGATCGATCGCATACCAAATAGTGTCACGTTCATGCTCAACCAGTGATATTTATCTCCACTTACAGACTCATTTCGCAACGCCATCTGCTATACAACCTGAAGCTACTTACGCAGATCTCACCAATCTTTACAATATATCAATGCGTGAAAATGAATTGATTTTAATCGTTGGCAAATCGAGCATCAATTTTCATTTTGGAACTGATGCTGTGAGTTATTGGATTTTAATTATTTCACTTCTGCATTAGATAGTCTTTGTGAACGAAACGAGCATCAGAGTTATGTTCCGTATGGACTGAATGCACCTGTTCTTTTGTTTAATTGTAAATGAGCACTATTCACATTTCAGGATCATGTTCGAGCCGAGCTGATACGATATCAGACCGAACTGATTGAGTCACAACTCTGGGAACGTGAACTGCAAGCTGTTAGAAGCGGGATAAATGGCCGACGACATTACTGGAATGATCCAGAGAAGAGTGAACTGATGACGAAAGGAGTGGTGTCGCAGTATGATTGCGTATTCCATCCTGGAGACTCGATACCGTTGCTGTCGAATCTGAATTTGTGGATATTCGATCGTTCACGATCACGACGATAGACACCTCCGATGCATATTGGAATATTAGGCACTTTTTGCTATGCACATTGATCGTCTCAGTTTTCTCAGTTTATTCTTCTCACTCTTAACAGAAAAAACTAACGTCATTTCGAGAAGATACCGGTTAAAGTGTTGTTTGCTTGTACTTTTTGTGTTTATCTTCAGATTACTATTTATTTTTTGTGTTTCAGATTCAGATTGTTATTTATTTATTTTTTTCGCTGTTTTGATTCTCTAATTTCTGTAAATATTATTGCGACTCTTATGAATTTGCTGATTCTGAAACGCCATAAATCAAGTGAAGGATTCGAATAATCCGTTCCCTTCCGTTCCGTTCCAGTTGTTCATTGCAATGAACTGACTGATGTTATTCTCGTTTCAGCACTACGAAAATTGCCTCAATACAGATCCATTTGTATTTAGTTGTCATTATACTTTTTATGTTTCAAATTATAGACATGTGGTGCTAATGTACTTGTCATTTTTTGTTTATATTCGATTAGTTGCACTTTCTGTATTGATAGAGTAATCGTTATTTTTTAGGTCGTTTTTNTTTTTAAGATTTTACAATACATGCGAAGATTTTCATCTTCAGACGATTGTGTCTCTGATTTTGGGCTGAATGATCGTTTTTATTATGTCATCAGCAGTTGACACGAACAATTTGAACTGTTCAAAATGTTGAGGGAACATTTTCGTTTCATATCTTTGAAAAATGGCTTTCAAAGTATTGTCATTAGTGAATTATTTTGCAGTTCTTTGTGATGTTCATTCTTACCTCTTTCCATCGAATTTTCACGAAAGGTGTTCGATGAAAATCGATTCGTAAGACCAATCTTCTGAACATCAATGGGTCAACCGATTACTTATAATTTTTTGTTCCAGCTACAAATATAGCTACGTTGAAGTTATTCACGTGAGTTGTGCTGAATTGATCGCACTTATCGAAAAACAAATCCAGTACAATCTTTCACTTAAAATAAGCGCTATGAATCTATTTTATTGTTTATTTTCATGTTTGCTAATCTTTTCTGTTGAACTTTATTGTGGTTTCATGTTTCATTTCATGTTTAACTTTCTGCAAAATGTATTTGTAATCGAGACTGCAACATCGAGCGTGATCGATGTTCTTTTATAATTTTGAACGGTTATTGAATTGGTGCTTTAAAAGATTGATCATAATTCGATCATATTTCGTTATCAACTGTTGCGGTAATGATTGTGTTGCATCTCATCTTGTTTTCATTTCATACCAAATGCTGCATTTCTCGCCAATTTATTGTCCTTTCGCATGGATATGCTGTATATTATATTTGTGAAAATTGTTACCACATTTTATTCGTTTGATGATATTCAGTGATTGTCAACTGAATAGATTCACGAACGGATTCGATTCATGCGTTCAGCATTCATCAACTTGTCCACCATCTACCCATCGTTCTATCGCTCTTAATGCGACGGCTGAAGGAAATCCGAAAGAGTATCGAGTATAATTTGACTGTGAATAGTTTTTTGTTGTTGTTTTGAAGTGGATGATTGCGTTGATCGTTATCATTTCTGAACATTATGCAATTGGCAGTATTGAATAAATTGTCCTCTTCTTTTATGCATATGTATCTTTCAGTGACATCATTATACATTGTTGTTTTTGTTGTCATTCTTGCGATAATTATCTTTACTGTTGTTATGGATCTTATTATGTTATCATTGATATCATTATATTACTATTGCAATTGTCATCGTGATGATAAATTTATTTCTATTTCATTGAATACAACAATTGTTGTGGTTGAAGAAATTGCGATAAAAAATTGAATTTGAGACGATTCGTTCGTTCATTCAAATGCTGTTTTAATGTGGTTGTCGATTATGAGCTGTTCTTATAGATGGCAGTATTCCTAAGTTCAGTTTGGGGTTTAAACACAACGTGATCAATAAATCAAAAACTGCACTGCAATAGTTCCAGTTGATATTGTTGCTATCGAACCACTGAACAAGTAGTCCGTAAGTGAAACATAAAAGTGATCGTTCGAATGTGAAATACTCTCGTTTCTGAAGATATATTCAAGAAAGATGGTAGTAAAAAAACGAAATAATACCGAAGTGAGTGCTGGATATTGACTGACAGGTGTCATGCTAAACATCTGTGTTAATGGATCATAGTTAATGAATGTCACCATTTCATAACCAACATCTTTCTCGTAATTACATGTTGCTGGATATTGCATGAAAAATGGTCTTTTTTGCTCGAGGCTATTTTCTCTGCTGATCAGACAGTCGTCAGTTCAAATCGTATTTGTCTCAGCTGATCTCTTTCTCTCTCTCTCAAAATCACAACGTATCCGTATTATTTGAACGCTTTTTGTGAAGATTCTCCAATCTCAAATCGACCCTTAACTAATGCATTCGTTCTCAATGTCAACGAGATTTTGTTCCTTTCGTTTCTCATCATTCTCGAACCATGCGCACTGTTCGATGGAGTTTCTGTTAAAATTCATCGCAACACTTCAGGTGTCATCGCACCGCACTCGAACTTGAAATTGATGATTGAAACTAAGTGCATTTTCACCGTTTCTATGTTTTTTCTCCAAATAATCTGATGGAATATAAATTATAGCTATAAACTATAAAAGACTGTAAATAAACTATAAAAGATCACTATTACAACAACAGCAACAAAACTAAAAACATTGTTCGTTACAGAAAACTGCGCGATGGAATTTGAAAGAAATGCAAAAACATCAGAAAATTTTACGAGGACCAATCAGAGAAGATGAACAAGAAAAGAAGCATGTTCAAAAATATTGAAATTGTTTTTGTTGAAATTTTGGTTTAGAAATAATTTCGATTGATTGAAAGCAACGAACAACCGGAATGCAGCGATTTTCATTCAATAAATAGTAACTGGAAAGTGGAAAAATTTGAACGAGTGAATGAATAAATGAAAGAAGCAAAAAATTGAAATGTGTCAAAAATGATGATGCCCCTTCAGAAGCAGAAATGCCCTTACGTACTAATAGACAAGATAGATTGAACCAAATTGCACGAAACGAATTCGTATCCTACATGATCACGACTTAATGAATGAATCTTCTCATGGATTCACATTAAATTCAAACAAATGCTTTCCAGTGACACAATGCATTTGCAAAAAAACAACGTTTCTATGAGATAAGTGTATATTTCTGGATGGAATGCTAATCATAAAGGGTTATCCTATTACTTAATCACATATGAATCGCACGTATGATCAAAGTATTTAATTTCTTCAATATTTACATTCTTCAACTCATTATATTCCACTAAGAAAGCATCAGATCAGGCAGATGTGTGATCAGAGTTCCATTATCATCGCGTGATTCATCCAGCTCACAACATCTGTTCGGAAACATTTTATGTCCTTCTTTTCGCTTCAAATAAAAAAAAACGACCAAAAGTATGTCTATTATTCTTGCTAAACGCAATGTATGTCGTCGTTGAAATTGAATAGAATGATACAGTAATACTTATACTAACTAGTTTCTTCCGAACACCTCAAAACCTTCATGGATAAATCCATAACCTTTTGCTACAATATTGCAGATTATCAAGGTCAATGATACGATACCGATTCCATCATTGCGATGAAATGTTTTATCAACTTGAAGAAGAAGAAAAAATAACCAATTCATTCAGTAATTCTCAGTTAATTGCCTTCAGTAGGTGCTGCTGTGCTGTTGATGTGCAAACTTTTTCATAGTGATCAATCGTAAACACTTCTAAATATAAAGCATTTTTTTAGATACGAGTGAATGGCTGGCAATTCACTATCTCCTCCATATAATCACTTTTTGAGAGGATATGTGTAAGCTGCAGGAGTAAAATGAATAGGGAAAGAAGAACCGCAATGAAGTAAGTGGAAAAAGAAACAATGTTCATCAATGGTGCTCATCATGCTCAACATAATCATTCTCTTGAATCGATCACATCTCGAAATTCTCCTTTCATTCAGCATCGTTATGCGCACCAACAATAACAACGCTAGTAATAATAAGAATAACATTAACGACACCGAAATCATTTTGAAATGACACTCCTCATTCGAATCACATCATGTTTTAAGAATGAGCGGCATGTTAAGAAGAACGGGGTGTGGTGGGTGGAGATGTGAGAACGAACTGGACGTAGTACGGACGGACGGTTGAACGGTTGGACAGACGGACGGACGGGTTGTATGAGGAGGCGAGTCGGATGATTGCTCGCGACTGGTGTTGATGACGGTGTTATATTTATGGACGGCGTTGATGAACGAAGGTGGTGCTGCTGATTCGAGTTGAGTGGAGTGGAGTCGAGTCGTTGGTTGTTGTTGTTGAAACGCAGAGAAGAAACTCGATTGCGTGCTGCTGCTACTACCCTCCTTATTCTTCTTCTTAATCATAATCAAAAGAAAATTATCACTGTTGATAATAACAACGCTCATAACAATAACAGTGATATACATCTGTTACGATCGCCGACAACAGTTTCAACATTTCATTCAAATTAGTCGAATTGAATCAACTCAATCAATTCCGATTGCGATCATTCTATCGTGCCGTTTGATATCGTTTACTGAATAGGCGAACACCGACGATATTCTTCTTCAATCGACGATTAATTAACCGATTTCAACTAAAAATATCCTTTTCCTGTCGTATTTCGATTCACCCATCGATATCATTTTCATCTATCTGCAAATCCAATAACACACTCATTATTCATTATCCTTTAATCTCCCCATCTTCTCCATGTGCACTACTGCAATCGTACTTTTACTATTCATCTTAATATTCCATACACCCTCATTGCTGAGTGAGTTACAAATTTCAATATATGATCGAATGATTTACTCGATATTATTTATTTCAGTTATCTCCTTGACGTGCTTTTTTCCCAGTTAGCAAAAATTCATCTATCTTTGCTAATTTGGAATGAAAATCACGTTTTGCGGAAGTGTTCACCTAAGTTATCCACCAACGGCATCATTCCAGCACGTGATCTTAACCGATCGATGAACTGCTACCATAAATTTACGCCACTGAAAGATGACACTTGAAATAGTTTATTCGTTGAAACAACTTATAGTTTATCTTCATGAACTTTGCGTAAATTTCAATGCAAACAGCAGACAACGGAAAAAATTCAATGGAAACATTTTTTTTCGCTTGTTAGCATAGAACATTTGTTCATATTGCTGCTGTTACACTATTATGTTGTTGTTGTTGTTGGTCTAGTCAAAAATTATTGAGAAAGAATTGAAAATTTTTAAAACTTCTCAAACTACGAGCAGATGATTCAATAATTCAGCAATGTTTTCGATCAGTCTCAAACGATGAGCATATCGTTCGTTGTATTTCAGGTCTTGAGAGGGTGCAAGAATTTCAACGCTATGATGGATGGTTCAATAATTTAGCGAATCCACAATGGGGAACAGTTGGTGGGTTTTAGTTTATCATCGAATGCGTATTCATCACAATTCGGTTGATATTTATTTGCGCTTAACGCCTAATTAATCAACACGTCATCCTCACCACTCAAACAACCGACAAACACAACGCCAAAAAACCTCAACCTTTACAATAGCACACCACCTCCACAAATACATCCATATCGTACATTCCTCAGCACCTACGACTTTAAATGACCTATCATCCAATTTCGTCGAAATACGATCAATTACGGTTGTCTGCTCGTAAACTTTCACTCGCATTGTTCACTCAAACCATCCTCATCGTTGCAATCTATCTGCACATTGATCATTTCGATCCCCATTTATAACTTCAGATCTCCTCAAATCTCTATCAGTCTTTCCGATCGATCTCTGCTGAATTATTGTTGTTGTTGCACAATTCATATCTAATATCTCATCGCGACCTCAAACAAGTTTAAATCGGAATTTACCAATCTTCACCTTAAACTGACACCATCAGTAAACGATCGCAAAAACAGCGCAAAAGTGCCGATTAAGCACACTTTGAGCCACACAACTTGGAGCACATCCTCGAATGTTGATTGGATACTTGAATTGTTCATTTGTTAAGGAACTGATGCAATATGGCTGATGTGAGCACATTTTAAAATTTCTTTGGCATTCTCCTCACCGATTACTCATAGCCTTATCGTTATCGTTTCGCTTCTTTCGTTATCAAAAAAAAAATCAATGGCTGATCGAACGTTATTAGTCATGGAAACTTACAAGAAACTGAGAAGCAAATAAATTATTCAACTTATTGGAAAATCAACCAATAGAAACAGCGTATAACATTTTTCCATGCTGATCAAGACGATTGTTAGAAATTATTAACACTATGATCAGTCTTTTCACGTACTGAATAAGTGGAAAGAAGCGGTTTTGCTTAAGAATTCCAATTTTCATTGGAAGTACTTTGCAGACTCTTCAGTTTCTTTCTTATGTCTCCACTTAGCGATCTGTTTCGATTAGAACTTCATTGATCAGGAAGTAGGACACACTTCTTTGATTAAAGTTGCAATTCGGTCTGGTAGAATTTTTCCCAGTTGAGTGTGGAAATAAAGTCTTGAGAGGTGAGAAAATCGCATTTGCTGGCTAAAAAATATTGCGGAAGAATCAAAATTGTCAAACTTTTTGTTTGTCGAAAATTATTGAAATTCAATGTTTAAAATCATCGACGCTATCATCAATCTCGTTTTACTGCGACACACTATATCGAAATATCACTAAAAACTAGGCGTGAACACACAAAATTATGATTACAGTTCGTGTGACGTTAACGAATCGCAGTAAAGCAACAAAAGACCAACTATTTACAAAATTCCATCGTTTTTTTTTTCTGAATGCATTTTCAGTATCTCTTTAAAATTCTCGTATTTCATTGAACAAGTTCCAACAACAAACTTCCATTGAATTTATTCTGCAATTTTCACCCAACATTGATTGATCATTGACTTTTTTTTGAGTTCAAGATGTGTTTCTGACTGAAAAAATTTGCATTCGTTTTCTTCGAATGAGAATAAGGACGACACTCGTCATTAAATACGAATAGATAATTGATGCTTTGCAGTCTTTCAAATGCTTTGCTGTGAACTTTAAATGAGCTGACTTTTTCAAATGATGTTCGCCAGTCGGGAGTTCACATGCTAAGCTTTCTGTTTACCAACGAAAAAACCTTTCCGGAGTATCGGCGCTTCAGAATGAAATTTAATTGATCAAGAAAACATGATCAGTCATTCAATTGGGCAAACCTACTCAAGTCATTTCTGTTTATTCCATTTAGTTCATCGGTTTTGATGAATAATTCGAACGAATTCAATTCATTCCGTTCATTTGTCACATTTCATTTTATCAACATTCTTACTGATTATCACTCGATCATATCTCTGTTCGTTCAGTTGAGCATAATCAAAGCAAAGAGATGAAATTCACTAAACATCAACATTTAACGGCAAAGTGTACAATTCAATAGTGCATAAATAATAATTATTGCAATGATAATTGATGATCAGCACAAGAAACACAGATAGGAATGCTAATCAACACAGTAAGAGTGACATCATTGATAATAATGATATCAGCAACAATGAAGACAAAAATAGCGACAATAATCAGAATGAGAACTGCGATAATGATCAAAATGTTGGTGTCAAAAATGAGAGTCATCTTATTATCTTATAAACATCTTATCTTATAAACAGCGAGAGTTGAGCGAAGAGGGAGTTTGCAGAATTCTTCGGTTTTTAGTCGATAATCAAAATTTTTCAATCAACAATCGCATGCCAACAAAATGATATCAGAATTTAAAAAAAAACATAAGATTATAACTGATTAAGTGATTTCCGCTCAGCATTATTCAATAGCTTCAAATGATATGAGCGCATAATGTCATATCACTTATAACATTGAGAGTTATGTGAGCCAATCAGCAGTTTTACGATCCACATCAACTGCAAAATAATTTCATATCCGCAAAAACTTCTCATATAATGAAAAGAAAATTTCAAGGATCACATTTGCATCGTGATGCACCAAGTCGATATCAGGACGGCGTTTATATGCTCAACGTTGATTTACCGTCAGCACGAGCCATCTCGGATCTCATCTTCAAAGGACCGTCAGGCATTCCGAATGCCCGTAACGTCACAACAATGCTTGCATTTTTCAGTGAGTTTTTCAATTTGCAATGCAATGTTTTCTGCATTCTTCATCTATTCACATTCTCCGCATTCCGTCTGTGGGCGACGGTTCGTGTCTTTTCAGTTCCACTTTTCTTCATCGAGTTTGTCATTCGAAGAATGCTTTCACCGAAGATAAATGTACCGTTCGATGTCTGAAAGTGTACTCAAATTTATTTTCTAACACAATTTCATTTAATCGAAACCATTCCAAGCCACCGTTCGTTCATTCGTTGTTCATTGCGAGCAGCAATCTCGTTTCAAAGCATTCAACACCATCATTAAAGCTTTTTCTGCATCTCATCATAACACCACAATAATCTCATAATCGCACCACAAAGCGAATTAAGCGTCGTCTCGATATGCTCATTTTCATCGACTCAATCAGCTCTGAATGCACATTCACTGACTGCATAAGATCGTTTTTGCCCACCGCATCAAGAAACACGAAAAACCGGTTGTTTCCGTTGCTCGGAACACGATTAAGACATCATTGCTTGTACAAACTCAATCAAAGCATGATTTTGTGTCTTCGCACAATCAACATAACTGCTCAGTCAGGAAATTGAGCAGAAAACATGAAATGCGCCACACTGTTTCTATAGGATATGTTTTTCGTTCTTTACGCAGTCTGTGAAACGACTAATCAAATGATTTATGATGTCCACTAACTCAAGATATTTATAGAGTACTGAAAAAATTATGTTGAAGATTTCGAGGAACTATTTCGATCAATTGTATCGATCAATGTGATCAGTACAATTCCACTTAATGTGGCAATAATTTGTTCATCGGATTTATGAGTTACCATCAGAAATGAGAAACAATCGAATGCATAAGGAAGTCAGCAGAACACACTCTTTTTCATTAAACCCTATAAAAAGATCGTCCTAGTTTCCCATGCAGAAGCAAAACACGAATAAATCAACAGCAAACAGAAAAATGCTGCACGAACTTCCACTTCCTGTCTGAAGCGGCATCGATAGAAATAAATCATTTGCGTTTTTTCTGAGCATTTCAATCTTACGATTAGTGCAGTGATTTCAAGATTTTGACCAAATCAGTCATTTTATGGACGGAATTCGTTTCAAGAAAGCAAAAATTATTGTGGATTACAAAATTCGAAAAATTTCATTCATTCAATGGAAGAATCAATTTCAAGGACGAGTAATCTTTCGTTGAATAGAGAAATGATTCAATTTGAATCATTCAAATTGATTTGATTGAATGTTTAATCGATTGCAATTATGATTAAGGTAACGCTCTCTTACATGATATCTTTCTATACCACATTCCAATACTAACTGAACATTGCACAAATGCAAAAACCTGCGAATATGCAAATGCAGTTTGAAATGAGTGAGGTTGATTGCAATAATGTGCGATCCCCTAAGCAGATCTTTGATGTAAAAATTCTTATTCTGTTATCTAANTAAGCAGTCCCTATCATTGTTACTGAAATTATTGTCACATTTCGCTGTTATTCTTCTTTTGCAAGTCAGGAAGTCAGGAAGCACAACACTAAGAATTAGTTCTTCATACACACAGTACAAGGTTATTATTGCTGTCAAAAATTGTTTCGTCTTAAGTGATTACGAAATTGATGTTTTGTTGAATGCGATATGATGAGGGGATTTGTTTGTGTTCGAAGCATCATCCATCGTTCCCACATCACAACCTCATCAAATTAGATTTTTGCATAACCCGTTGATCAATTTTTGCATCAACCTCGTTTGAGAATTCAATCATATCTGAATGGCGATCAAAGGCAAAGTTTTTCGGACGTTCGAAAATTGAAATGCGGACAGTTATCTGCTCGAGTGAAGGCCATCGTTATTCGGCCTCATTGAGAACGACGGCAATTCATTCAATCACATTCGAATAGTTGATTGTTTGCAATTATTAAATTTCATAATAGAAATACACAATTATGTTTTTATTGTTCGATGCAATTTGTGTGCATCCGTTCATTCGTTACGCATTCTACATTCTCCTTATTTTATTATGCGATTTTACAAAAACGGAATATCTGCAAAAAATAACTGATTGTGAATAAATGTGAATTCACACAGCCGATTTCTATAGGTAAAGGTGGGGTTGGACACTGTTGTGGAAAGAAAATTTTTCGGAATTTTCATGTGAAAACGACAGATGTAAAGTTGCAGTGCAGCTTTCCAAGAATATGTATGAGTAAAATTAAGATCCCCTAGGAAGGGGAACAAAGGCATACCCCTCCTTCCATCTCCCCTTGGAGGTTGCAAGAAAAGGAAAATAATCATGGTTATGCCACCTCTTTTAACTCATCTGCTTCAAATCAAA